AGAGAGAGAAGGTCAGGAAGTTTGTTTGTGTAACACCCAATTTTTCAAAGATACGAGACAAAATTTTCCCTTGAAAATTAAACTAATTTTCACATATCTCAAAAATTGTTCTTATTATATTTTATACTTCATTTTGATATATATAAAAGTGTATAGAGGTAACCTATCTATATCAACCATGCATAAAGTTAATTGTTCCTATACTTTCTAATTAACATTACCGTAGCACACCTTAATATACTGAAGTAGCACTGTAACAGTCCAGAAATTTTCCGAAAATCAAAGACGGTAAAACTAGTGGGTGGTGGATTTGAAATAGAAATTAAATATAATATATAAATATACATATAAATAAGCTTAATACCATAATTATCCTACCAAAAAAAAACCCTTATCTGAGAGCCTGGAGGCAGCGGCCACAAGCAATAGGTTGCATACGAGGTCTCATACTATAGCAATACGCGGGTATTGTAGCATCTGGCGTGTGAAAGGAAACAACCTGGGTTACAATAGCAGTAGGATTGTATAACAAGAAAAAGCTTGGGAATTGTAGCAGTTGACCTGAGGAAGAAGAAAAAGCTTGAGTACTATAGCAATGCGAGGAAACTCAAAAAAAAAAGTAGAGAAAGAATAAAGAAAGAAAGAAGACATAAGAGAAAAGTTGGGTTTTTTATAAAAGATCGAAGCTTTGAAGAGGGAGAAATAGGGACATTAGTCAAGGAGAAGAAATCAATTGTTAAGGTGAGATACTCTACTTCTAATCTAATAGCTGAATGATTCTTAAGAATTACGTTTGCACATTTTATGATTCTTTCGAGCAACAATGATCGCATATGTAGAAATTCTTGCATTATGAGCATGCTAAAATAAATACAAGAGTGATGGGGACATCAGATCGTGAAAGGTTTATCAGAGGCGTGGCCGCCAATCTACGGTCACGATCGAGTCTTTATATTTCTGAGTCATTTGTATTATTTTATTATTCATGTATTTTCTTATTTTCTTAGGTGTCATTTTTGTTTTCCCATTGTACCCTCTTATGAAGGGATGTCATATGTAAGCCCAAGGGGCATTTATGTCTTTTTGTTTTGAGTCCTTTGTATGAGGCTTTATATAGCCCTCCTTATTTTCTTTTGAGATAAATGAATGATTGCTTATGATATTTTCTTCTTGGATGAGTATTGAGAGAGCTTGAGAGTTCTAATGGAGGGAATTCCTTAGGAGGGGGAGATCGTATCACCCACCAACCTTGGAGACGGCCGGGTTCGTGGTTTTCTCTTTGTATTTTGTTTCTCCATCGTCACCTCCCTCATTCGTCTTCGTCGTTTCAAACGCCACCACCCAAATTCCCCACAATAAACTCCACAAAATTTCCCCTACAGCCGCCGGCCACCCCACCTGAATCCCCAACCCGCCGGCTCCAGTAATCCTGTCGCCGGCTCATCCCACTCCCTCTTCTCCAATCAAGACCATTGCCTAATTGGGATTGAGTATTTTTGGACAGATTTTTAAATTCAAAATTGTCCATTTGAAATTTAAAATCTTCCCTAAAATACCAAATCTATTTTAGGAAAGTTCATAAATTAAATCCATTTGAATTTTAAATTTGAATTGGATTTAATTAAAAACTTTCCTCTTTACTAAACCCAATTAAGGAACCCCTAATTCCTCTCATTAATGACCCCCATAGACACCCATACCACCGGCCCCCCTTCCCCTTTAATTTGGGATTGAAATTTATTTCCTATTCCCTATTCCTACCTTTGGAAATATTTTCAAACTCCTAGCCTTAGTCGAATTTCCTCAGCTTTATTTCCTATTATATTTCCCAAATCAATTCACTGATTTTGAGAATTGAAATCCATCAAATTCCCCTGTCATCCCGCCGTCCTCCTCTTCTCCTAATTGCTCCATATAGCTTCTCTAGTCAAGAACCTATGGATTGGAATTTCCTCTCAGCCTTTCTCTTCACCATTAAGGCTAGGCTTCTCCCTCAACTTTCTCTACATCCTAGTCTACTAAAATATGAGAATTCATCTCAGATTTTTGTTAGAAATCTGAAACTGTTTTCAGATTTTGAGAGAACGAGGCTTGGAGTTTGCTTCCTCCTCAAGTGCAAAAGAAACTTCTTTTTTGCCATCATTCAAGAGGCCTACCAAGTGCTAAGAAGATTTTACATTCAAGCATCCATGAATGGCGGATCCGGAGACTGAATATGGAATAACTTGGGACGACGACAGCTTCACCGACATCCTACGATCAACTTTCTTCGACATCAATCCAAGGATCGACCACACCGTTGAAGACTACTTGGAGAGGATCCTAGATACCTTGGTGGAGGCTATCGACGAACACTTCAAAGGCATCGAGTGGAGGATCTCCACCTCCCCCTAGCGAAGGTTTCTCTTTCCCCTTGCATCTTATTCCTTTTAGTCTAAACTCTCCTTGGTTTGATTGCAGTCACGACGGACTCTTCCGCATTGCTCTTGCTTAAGCTTAGTAATCGTAGGGTTTGAGTGCACCTCGATGCATCCTAATTCTCATTGTTAAACTAGAGATTAATATGAAAACTACTACTATTTATTGTGTTGTTTTTCTTATTTATTTTGGAAGTTTCAAAGTTCCTACCATGTGATTTTGAGCCTAAGCGGATAACCACTAATTGCTTTATTTCGTTGTTTGAATTTGCTAGTAGATTTGTTCGTGAATTATTCCAATCATAACTTGTGCAAAATCTCAATGAATTAAGCATTTCATACGTAGTCCTGCATCAAAGAGCGTCAAAGAGATTAATGCATATTTGACATTCATAGATGTCATATGTTCATCAATTTATATGATTTCAAATTAATCCTTATTAATTGTAAGTATAAAACTATTAAATGACATTGATGCTATCAAATATTATGTATTTTTATTTTATATTAAACATTAGTATGTTTTTTATGTTCTTTTTTATTTTTTTAGCTATCCAATGATGGGAAAGCATCCAATGATCATGGTAGGTTGTGCTTGGGCTTTGGTATACCTTTGGTTTGATGGCTTGATTGGTCCTTGGCTGCTGCTGGTTCTCGGTTTGGCTTATGGTCCACGGTTTTGGAGCTTATGGTGAAATATGGAAGAGGATGGTTCATTAGAGTTGAGCTTAATTTCTAAGTTGCTAGCTCATTAATGATGAGCTGAAGTTTAGTTCATTCATTGGGAGAACTACATAGCTCATTAATGTTCTAAGGTAAGCTCATAAGTTGAATTTCATTATGGAGTGGTCTTGTCCCTTCTCCTCACCTCTTCTTCTTAAAATTCTGAGCCTTTGTCCCCTTGGTTTCCCCGGTTGGTTGCTGTTTTCCGTGCTGGGTGACCTTTCTCGTGCCTTGGTGCTTCGGTTCCGTGCGGACCTCCTTGGCTTTTGCGGCTGCCTCTTCGGGTTCCGCCTGGGCTGTTTTCCCGTGACTTTTGGGGGCTTTTCCGTGGCTTTGGTGATTTGTTTCCTGGAGTTAACTGCTAGCTTTTCAATTCCCTCATTTATAATATAAATATGAAAAGTCATTGTGGCTGTTAAGCTTCTCCTCTCTTGCCTATAAATATGAGATGTTTTGTGAAGGAATGGAAGTTGAATATTGAGAGCAAATTTGCCATAAATCTGCAGGTTATTCTTGGAAAAGCTTGCGAGCTTGTTCCATTCTCCTTCTCCTCTAGGAAAGACTTGCGAGTTCTTTCCACCCTTCTTCTCGGCTTCTAACCTCTTTCGTCTCTCCGCAAGTTCCACTCCATTTGTATCCTTCTTCTTGAGCTTTGGTGATATTTGTTGGCTGATTTGGGAGCATTTGCTGGACGGTTTGGGATTGGACAGTTGGACTATCTTGCAGTGGTGGACCATCGGTTTGCTAGCCCTAAGCACTTATTTTACTTAACCTACATTTTTATGCATGTGAGGAACCCGCTCTGACGGTTGTCTGAGGATAGCGTTGTTTTTATTTTCTTTGTTTCTTTGAATTCTCTTCTAGTTTTCTTCATCAGATTTTTGGATGTTATGGATGATTGCTACTATTTGAATCGAGTTTGGTTTAGTTTCGCCCTTTGTTCTCCTTGTTTGGCTTTTCTATCTACTGTGTTTACATCAGACATACAGCGCATTTTTATAAGTATCATGTTTTATCATATATGTGCATTACTATGAAGTGAGGAATAAATATTTATGTCAACACCAATGTGGTAAAAAAATAGCGAGAAAGAACACAAGAACTCCAACGAAACAAACCCAAGATAGTAGATTGCATTAGGGAAATCAAAGCAAAGCAAACATAAAGCAAAGATACAATTGATCCTCAATTCGAGAGGAGGATCGTTCTCTCCCAATCTCTAGACGAAGAGTCAAGAGCCCAAATCACCAAAGAGAACTTCAAGAGAAATAATAATACAGCATAAACCCTAACCCTAACCTTTCATGCCTATTTAAAGCTTAATTCACTTGAATTCAAAATTTATTTCCCTCCTATCTTAGCCGTCTCCCTTAATTAGCCATGTGGGGCCATGGCTTGGGCGGAAATCACATAGGAGGGGGTTTGACCCACCTCCTGTAGACTAGGGCCGGCCCATGTGAGGCCAACTGGGTCGGTTCAAGAACAGAACCAACAATCTCCTAATGCACTTAAAGTACCTCCAACTAAAGCTTACCCTCCACTCAGCTTTACTATCTTAAAAGCATACTCCTAGTAACAAGCGAACTACAAGGGTCAATGCTGCAACTACTTTACTACAGTAATTTGTGAAGTATGTGTTATACTATGTCAATGGAATTTAATAACTTCTTATTACACCTTGATCTAAACAAGTAAATATTGTGAAAGTTTTTGGTATATTCACGATATATAATTGACCATGCAAAGATGATTCTAAATGTATCCTTTCCGAGTATTTCTCCTACCAATCAAAAAGATGAAGTAAGATTAACAAAAGAGAAAGCAAACACTGAATTCCAAAAATTAGATCAATGGTAAAACCTCGTCAGCTTTAGGCCATTTTTCATCACTTATCTCTAATGTCAACTCAAAACAGCCACCATTTATGTAGTTCCAATCTTGCATGCCACCATAAATAGGATACCTGAAAACTGACATGGATTAAATAAGCTAACATCCATACTTACGATACTCAAAAACAAAATCATTTATGATAAAAAGCATACAAAAAGAGGGTAAAGGCAATCCCAATCAAATCATCAAAGAAGAATAGAAATGAAAGTGGGGGCCATTTTCATACCAAAGTGCCCCATTTACAATTCCTCCTTCAAACTCTTTGCTTAAGGACATGTTATAATGGGAGCGACTATACACACTTGCCATGTAGCGGAATGTCTTGTCATCGGGACAAGCAAAATATTCCTTCCTGGAACTGAAGCCTTCATTGTTAAAACAAACAAATGTAACAGGTTTTTAAAAGAATCAAAGAATAAGAGAAACACTACAAAGAAGAATGTCATTGCTTTTTAAAAGAACTATAAAGCATATGATGTGCCATTTTTCATTGCATCATACATAAAAAACACATTCTTCATGAAGCATCCCATTCAACAAAACCTATGAGACAAAAGTATAAAAAATGAAAGATTCTTTGAAACACAATCAACATTGATTACATAGATATATTTACATGCAAATACGCAAATATTAGATGGTGGGTAGCAAATTGAATCGTTGGCCTTATCAACTTACTCGGGATAACAAATTTGCAAAAGCAAAAAGCCTCATCTTCATGCCATGACAATAGATCTTACACACATTAATTAAATTTGGAAACGGGCAACATAGACATCATATTTAAATTGATACAACCCATTAAAGCTAATGACAAATAGTCAAGTTTTGATGGGACATCAGCTCGTGGATGGTTTATCAGAGGCGTGGCCGCCGATCTACGGCCACGATCGAGTCTTTGTATTTTTGAGTCATTTATGTTATTTTATTATTTATGCATTTCTATTTTCCTAGTGTCTTTATGTTTTTCCGTTTGTACCCATTTAATGGGAAGTGTCGTATGTGAGCCCAAAGGGCAAGAGTGTCTTTATTTTCTTGGGTCATTGTATCTGGCTATTTATAGCCACTTCTTTCATCTTATGAGGTAATGAATGATTGATTATGAATTTTCTTCTTGCATGAGCTCTTGTGAGAGTTTGAGTGTTTGATGGAGAGAGGTTCCTAGGAGAGGGAGATTTGCGCACCACCCACCAACCTTGGAGATGGCTGGGTTCGTGGTTTATTATCTTGTTTTGTTTACCGTGATTTCCCTCCCCCACCCTCTCGGCCGCCAACCTTCTTCTCCATCCGAGCCCCTCTTCTCCACTCCAAAAACCCCTCCAATCCACTTCCCACTCATGAATGGCGGATCCAGAAACTAATTATGGCATAACGTGGGACGAGGACGATTTCGTCGACATCCTGCAATCTACTTTCTTCAACGTGAATCCAAGGATTGATCACACCGTCGAAGATTACTTGGAGCATACTTTGATCTACTTGGTCGAAGCCATTGACGAGAACTTTGAAGGCATCGAGTGGATGATCTCCACCACTCCTTGACGAAGGTTTCACTTTCTCTTTGCATCTTATATCTTTTAATCTAACTTCTCTTGGTTTGATTGCAATCACGGCGGACCCCTCCTCATTGCTCATGCTAAAGCTTAGTAAACGTAGGGGTTGAGTGCACCTTTATGCTTTTCTAATTCTCGTTGTTAGACTAGGGATTTCTTTGAACACTACTATTTGACATTGTATTCTTTTCTGAATTTATTTTGACGGATCTAAATCTCTTGCTACACAATTTAGCCTAAGCGGGTGTGACCCCTTATTCGTTTTGACTTGTCGTTTTAACTGCTAGAAGTTTTTTCTTAACTATTTTAATCAAGAGTTGTGCAAAATCTAAATGAATTAAAACATCTCATACTTAGTCTTGCATCAAGTTTACAAAGTAGAATAGCTGAATTTTCATGGGCAAATATCTGGGTACATTGGAGAGTATATTAGGGGCCAGTCTTTCATTGTGTGCAAGCAAGCAAACACTTTTGAGAGTACGTATAGGCGAGTGGTAGAGTATGTGTGAGCAAGTAGCCGAGTGCGCCTTGGTAGTGCTCCAATGACTTACTAAGTGCGCCGTTGGGAGTAGATGAGTGGTCAATAATGCATTGGCAAGTGAACAAGCTAGTTGTCGAGCGCACATTAGCGAGTTGACGCTTTCGTCAATTAAATTGGATCAAAATTTGCCTCATGAGATGTGTTCGCCATTTAAAACTATCTAGGATCAAGTTTGACTTGCCGATGACTTCATCATTATGGGAATGTATATAACATTTTTCAGGCACACAATTGATTGTATTGTCATGCATATGCAAGCTTTACAGTGAGCACTTGATAGTTTTTTTTTTTTACAAGTTGATTGTGCATGAGTTGTGATTCTTGGCTCGCAATTGAAATTATGTCATTTTATTTATTATTTTTTCACTTTGGCAATGGTGAATACTTTGGGGGAAAAACCAAGACTATGAATAGGGTTTTCTAATATGTCATTTTTATATTCAACTTAAGTTCATAGTGCTTCAATAGATAATGGCATATTGCTTTCACACTCAATTGGCGTGCCGCCAAAGTTAGATAAGTTTTTTTTTTTTTTTTACTTTTTAGATGACTTGTAATACATTATTAGGTGCTTGTCCATCTTATTTTTGCACTTTAGCTTGTTTTTTCCACTTTTATGATGCTAGTTAGATGCCAAAATCATGTTTTCCGAACTTATTAGGTGAATTTCAAAAAGATTTCAGCAAATATAGTGCTGCCCTATGAAGTGCCAATTAAATGTGCTGCAACTCTCAACCACACCAAGAAAGATGTGCAATGCTGGTGTACAAGATACCACGGCCAAAATCAAGTCCATCGCATTAAAAAAATGTTGGGTGGTGTGCAAAAATGTGGTATGAATGTTTTGAGGAATTTTTTATACAAAGAAACACAAAACAGCAAAATAATAAATTCCTCGCTGTTGTAATAATGGTGTGCATAGAGATCATGCAAGGTAAGGCCATGAAATGATTGTGAGGAAAGGACTAGTTTGACAGAGTGAAAGACACAAGAATCAAGAAGGCCCAGTAACGAAGGGGTGGCTATCAAATTAGGGTAGATTGAAACGGAAAAGGTGGCTGAGGAATTTAGGAGAGGGTTTTAAAAAATAAAAATTTATATTAGGGTTAAATGACCTCCATTAAGCTGCATCCTGGCATCATTTTCTAAGGTGTGTGAAGGGTTAACTATTTTTTAATTATAAAAAAAAAAACTATTTTTTAATTATTATTATCAGTATTCTCGTACATGAAAATGTTTCGTCCTTTCCTTGCATCATAATTTAATAAATACACCGGGGGAGATTAGGGCTTCCGAGATTGTTTCAGTATTCTAATGTGGACTCTGAAAATTCACGCACCGGCCTCTCCACAACCCTTTCTTTTTTGTGTGTCGGCGAGGAGAGTTCTAACGAGTTTAAGTTCCGAGGTAAATTTACATAAGTCATGTTAGGTTTTAGATAAGACATTACCCAGATATTTCGCCCTCATTTTGCACTTTATGATCTGAGTTTAGGTTTCCTATAGTGATGCAACCAAAAAACAAAGATTGCAGACTACTAAGATTTGTTTTCACTATGAGTCTATGACTTAAACATACACAAAACAACTTTAAAGAAAAAGACACAACTTCAACTACAAAAACATATTGACCTCGTTTTTCGCTCGAGTGCCCTCGAGCACCTTCGATCGATTTAATAGAACCTCGTCATACCCAATTCGAGCTCGAATCGACCCGACTTGAACCGGATTAGACTCGATTGTGTTCAATTAGACTCGGTCATTTTATTTTGGTCGCGTCGTGCCCGATTCGATTTAAATTAGCGATTATTATGAATTCGATTCCATATAATTAATTTTATTGAGCCGGCTCGAACCCGAATTGATTCGAATTGAGTCAAATTCGGACTTGAGTCTAACCTGGTCTTAGCCAAATTTGATTTAGTTCAGCCTAATTTGATCCTATTAAGAGCCATTTGACTTTTTGAATATTTTGAATTTATTTCCTAGATCAGGAAATTGCCTCAACGGCTTTAATCAAATCAAATCGCCGTTTCAGCCTAGATCCCGCGTCTCAGCGATCTCCTGCAATTCGAGCTGACGTCGAGTAGTGGGAAGAGCTGCTTAGGGGAATTTCGGAAGCTGGAGCACAAGACGACGAATGCGCGGGCTTCCTCTTTCGGCGACGAGTTTGATTTACCCAAAACGAAGACCTTCGGTTTCGGCATTCGCTCTCGTTCCCTCTCACGCCCGATCTCTCTACCCCTTTGATTAGGAAAGCCTAGAAATTCCTTTACAGTAAATTCATTTGAGAGGATAATCTAACATCCTTAATCGAGAGTTTTCTTAGACCGAGGTCTAAGATGTAATTAACTACGGGGGCTTGCGCTCGTAGGAAACTGATCCCCACAATCAAATAAACTTCATTCGAGCTGATGTATCGAATGGGGGAAATCTCGTGAAATTTTGGGTTATATATATTATTATTCATCGAAGTGTGTAGGCGAAAGCCGCTATCTTCCATGGCTAATCGTAAAACTTAGAAAAGATTATTAGTAAACCATGGATAGAAAAAACACAACACTACTTTCAACTTGTAAACAACACAACCAACTTACTATTAATAAAACTTAGAGAAGAATGATACAAATGGAATGTAAACCATGGATAGAAAAAACAGATAGAAGACTGAGACGAATTAGAACAAGAAGGGAGGTAGAAGACAATAGATCGCAAGCTATTAAAAACCCGTAGGTTTCATGCTCCAAAAATCATCCATAATTCATCACATCTCTCTTTTTTAACTGCAGCAAACAGCCCCCATATATATGAAAATACAAAAACCCAACAAACTCTTAAAAATGCCACCCCCAAGCATCCAATAACGGCCATTAAATCCACGAAGTAGCTTGTATACATTCAAAGTAGTCTGTGTAGCCATTACCTTCCGTCTTGAGCACCATCCCAAGGATAATTTGCAACGAGTGCACCCTGGAGTGGAAAATATAACAAATATTAACTAAGAACTAGGATAACATGTACCAAACTTCCATAATAAAACATCCTAGGCAAACTATTTTTTTGATGTTATCAATTTATGAAGATTTTAAGAAAGATTCAGAAGTCAAGGCATGATATAGATTATTAAAAAAAAAAGAGGACTCTATGAAAGCTTTAAAAAGGTATAAACACTAAACAACTGTTGAGATTTAGCACGTAATACAGAAAATGCAAATTATTTGTTTTGTTTCCTGTAACCACGAAATTAATAACTACATGTAACTTACCAAGACAAAGCTGGAAAAAATACTCATCAGAACAATGAAGTATATAAAGAGGGAGGGAATAATCGGATCACATCAACACTTCAAATAAAGTATCTTACCCCATGTAAACTTGCAGAGGCTGTAAATTGCCGTCCTTCCACCCATTTTATAATTGCTTTTGTTTCAGGTTGCCGCTGGGTCAGCCCATCAATCAAAGGGTAAAACTGTCACCATTTGTTATTTCAGACAGCAAGATGTAGACATGCAATTTTAGTGCATATAAAGTATAAATTATGCAGAAGACAAAAAGAACTGCGAATATGATCTATGATAATCAGAAAACATGAATTGAATGAAGCAAGATGAATATAACATGTGACTACTCACTTGATCAGGAAAATCTCTATTCAAATCCACATTATTTGCATTGCCACGTCTCCTCATATCAAACCCATCAGGATTCATGGATGGGAGAATGTGAAGATGGACATTGTTTACAATCAATGTTGCCTGTGTATTGAACAAAAACAACCAAGAAGAGGAGCAGGGAACAATCAGATGCATAGACTAACTAACTAAATAACTATATATATAGAACTCATTGAATTTGAGAAGGGAAAACATGCCCTTTCTTTATTATACAAAATTATCACTATTTATAGATATATACAAGATGTCTTAATAAAGAAACAATAACTACATAATCATGCATAATTGTCTCAATATAATCATTCGTAAATCAACCACCCAAATATAGAAGGAGATTGGCGTGATCCAGGTAAGCATCCACGGATTCCCATCCTGACCGTGGGATCAAGTGCCAAGGGATGACTAAGATTTTGACATATATAATGCCATGTTTTTCATGCTGAAGTTCAGCATTTTCCTTTATTTTATGTTGTTAAATAAAATATGCATACCAATACAATGTAGGATTAAAAAATTCATGTCATGATTGTTCGATAAATTTTAAACTAGCTGAAGATCAAGTCGTTAAAAAGAGCACACGTTTTAGATATCTCAGTTCTATTGTTCAAAATGATGGTGAAATAGATGGGGATATTATTTGTAGATTCAAGTTGGATGGTTGAAGTGGAGATAGGGCGTTTTATATGAGAGAAAAGTACCCGTCAAACTTAAGGAAAAATTTTATAAGATAATGGCGAGACCTGCAATACTTTATAGCACAGAATGTTGGGCATTAAAAGTGAAACAAAAAATTAAGTTAGGTGTTGCAGAGATGAGGATGCTCGAGTGGCTAAGTAGCTCTACTCCTAGAGATAGAATGTGAAACAAGTATATACGTGAAAATGTTGGAGTAGCTCAAGTGGCAGATAAAATTAGAGAGAGTTATCTTAGATGGTTTGGTCATATAAAAAGTCGACCTTCCGATCACCCAATTAGGAGAGTAGATGTATTAGATATGTCCTATATTAATAATGGTAGAGGTAGACCTAAAAAGTCTTGGTTAGAAAGTATTATAAATGACCTTTTTTATTAGATTTAAATAAGAATTCAAATTTTAATAGAATAATATAAAAAAAGAAGTCATGTGGCCGACCACATATAGTGGGATAAAGGCTTATGTTGTACTCATTTGTATTGATACAACATATGATACAAAAAAGAGTTCTAGATGAATGAAAAGCATTTTGATAGTTAATATAAGATACAATGCTATTCCAAAATTCAAGTACAAAAACAAACTCCTAAACAAGCATGATAGAAGAATTAGTGAAAGAATATTTATCTCTTAAGCACAATTGAAATGTATTGCTAAATATAGGGAGTTCATGAATTTCTGGCAGCAAATGCTTTCTAGAGAAAAGTGAGCTTAAAATTAAAAAACAAGCGCCATATGAGTTCCCTGTGGGGGCAAATGGAAATGAGGGATGATCCATAGCGTCCTATCTCAACTGGAATACTAGCATTTTAATACTACTGGGGGCATCTATTTTGGAAAAATAAAATTCTCAATTCTATTGCACCTAAAAATTTAAGACTCGTTGAATAGGAATTCAGAAAAATAAAAAAAATAAAAAAACAATCAGAATTCCTTTTTAATTATTGTACTGTGAGTAAAGAAAGCAGCACAGAAATTTTTCAAAAACAGGCCTAGCATATAGATTCTAACCCCTTTATTTGTTAAAGAGAAATGATGATGAGGACATCAGAAGATCAATGATCTACGATCACGATCTACTTTTGATTATTATTGTATTTGATGTATTTTGTTTTATGTTTTATGAGTCTATTGTATTTCTTTCCGTTTATGCCCTTGCTTAAGGGCCTCGTCATGTGTTTGCCTTAGGGGCAAGTGTGTCTTTGTATTTTCTTTATTCTGTTGGCTATTTAAAGCCTTCCCCTCCCCCCCTCTTCGTGTGAGGATGATGAATATTGAAATGAAATCTTATTTTTTCTTTGCTTGATCTCTAAGTGAGTTTATGGGAGGAGAGACCCAAGGTGGGGGCAATCACAATACCCGTCAACCTTTGGAAGAGTCCAAGGTTCACGATTTTATGATCTCTTTGTGAGTTCGTTAGTTTACTTTTATCATATTTGTATTTTCTTTCATCTCCTTTCTCCAAGTCAATTGCCGGCCACTTCCAACCTCCCCACCACCGGTGGCTCAACCTCCCCCACCCACCAACCTAGCCACAACCCGCCACCTAGCCGCCCCCTTCCCCCTTTGCCGCCAGCCATCTCATAATTTCCCCCTCATTATGATGATTTCAATCACCATGATGACTTCCTAATTTAGCTCAAGCATGAGAGGGAAAATTTGAATTCATTTGAAATTTAAATTTGAATTTAAAATTCTTTCTATATAGAGAATTCCAAATTAGCAAAGTATCAATCATGAATTCAATTTCAAAATAAATCTAATTCGATTTATTATTCCCTTTCCTAATCTTCATCTTCTATTTGAAAACTCCCATATTTCCCTCCCCAATCCCCTCCACCCCTCATGATGTCGCCGGCCCCATGATGGGCTCCCCCCATTAAATGCTCATTTAATCCCTCAACCTTATTTGAAATTTGAATTTAATTTCAAAACATTTTCCCTCCAAATCCACTTAAGCTGAAATTAATTTCAGTTTTCCAATTCCCATCCTCTCTCCCCAATCTAATTTTCTCCATTTAATTCTCCAACATAATGTCACTAATCTCACCACAATTTCAGCCGCCACATTCCCCTATCCCTAGCCGAATTAATTACCCCTTCAAACAGAACCTGGCCATCAGGAACCTGATCCAATATGCTGTCCAGCCATTCTGACCCAGGAAATACTGTCCAGAAAACTTCCAACCAGCAATTTTGCCACCACGTCACTCCCGTATACTAACTAGCAACCCTCCAAGAGCAGCCTAGGATTTCCTAGGCACTACAGTTTGTCGTTCAAGCTACCCCAAGCATCAAGATTGCTGGCCAAGACTTGCATGACTGCTGTCCAAATCAGATTTCTGCGTCTAGAGAGGACTCCACCTGCTGACTTGAAGTCCAGAAACAGGAAATTGCTGTCCTGTATTCCTGGAATCCTCGTTTTGCTGTTTTGGAGGCCTCCAATCCCATTCCAGCCAATCCAGCCGAAGGTTTTCTCTACTCAGGAGTCCTAACCGCAGCCACATATCTTCTCTCTTTGGGTAAAGCTCTTTCTCCGACTCTTTTATCTTCATAGTTACTCCTCAATTGTGGTCTTAGTAGAGCCATGAAGATAGTGTTGACACTCCTCCGCTAAAACCTTAGTGATCTAGTGAGTAGAGTGAGGGGTCCTTGCATAGAAACTATCCTCATTGTTAATTTAGGGATTTATTGTTAAAACCATTCATGTATGCAACATTAGATTGACTTGATTGTTTTATGATCTTAACTCTTACGCGTGTGATTCAGCCTAAGCTTATTTTACCGCTCTTAGTGTTTTCATTTGTCGTTAGGAAATTCATTGTGAAGATATGATTATTGTGGCTTCTAACACTTAAGCGTGCAAACTCTTCAAGTAATTCAACTTTGTATGATCGTTCTACATCAAATGACAAGTTTCTATATGGAAGCATAAGCTGGACCTATGCTAGCCAATGCCTTTTCAGAATCCATATGGGCCATACCTAGGTGAGGATCTAAGCAATCCGATAAGTTAACAATATTAGGTCAAATTTATTTTGCTTGCAAGCAGTCGCATTATATCCGCTGCTAAGTTAAGAGTCCCACGGGAATAATATAAGCGCTCAGATGCAACTAAGATTAACTTTTTTCATGTTTCAGCTCAAAGTATTGGGCCTTCACAATATCAGAATCAAGAAAAAAATAATCAAATAAACTGGACCCATTCTACACTCCTGAAATGCTGCATGTTCACTCCAACAATAATTGTAAGATGAAATACGATAATTATTATTTAAAGCATTCTTGCAATTCACATCTTACTTTTTAAAGGCAAATACATGCCGGAAGTTAATTATCTTTGTCTTGAGCAAAAATTGAAATTCCGGAATTAAATAGCACCGTAGAAAACGGTATGAAAAAGCATGTAAGTTAGCTTGTGTCACATTTGCTGATAGAGAAGGGAGGGTGGAGAAGAGGAAGAGAAGGACTGGAAGATTACCAGAGGATCCTTCATATAATTATTACAAAGCCAATTTGCAAGGCGTACAAGTACTTCTCGTCCAACGGGTTCATCTCCATGAACATTTCCAATAAACTTGCAGTCATCAAAAGATAGATATCCCAAGAGATGTTAGGCTTGGATATAAAAACTGTTAAAATAAACAATGCCTGATGGCATTGCAATAAATGAATTATAAAGGTAGGTACAGGGCAACAAATTCAAGCTAATCAATTGCTAGGCTTAATAGTCATTCAAAAAGAACTGAAAAAATCCATCTATATCTTTGTCTAGAAATAATATATAAGGCATTTATCAGGCAAAAGTAAAAATACATATCCCCAAGAACATGGCTGATAAGTCGTGAAACTGAACCAATTTAAGTAATAGCACCAGTTATATCAAATAAAACAAATTATACATCCCATAGTGCTTGGAATTAGGCAAGACCAAATTCAAATTACTCAGATAAAAAAAAAAAAAAAAACAGAAGTGGATTAATATTCACATGCTGAGTCAGTGTAAGGTGCTTCTTCGTAGAACATAAATTTTAGGCTTCACAACTTAATGCATAGATGCAATTGCAACCTTTCCAAAGGAAAATCATGGAGAAAGAATTGATGCTTAGGCTTAATATATCAATGATTTATAACCTTTTAAAAGGCTTTCGAAACCAGATGCAGAGAAAAGCTGACCTGTAAACAGAAAATAGAATTATACATCAAAGAGTAATATTTCACAAGCATAAAAAGCAACTACCAGCCACTCATATCTTACACAATTGATGAATGATTGTGAGACCCATAAATCAATCAATCTTGGTTGGGATCCTTAAGCATATACGGATTAAGAATTCTAATCATTGGATCAATCCTCTTATAACCCATAGATTGCAATTTGTGTGCCTCATGTTCCTCTTCTAGCTACCAACTCCTCTTGGGGATTTTTTTTTTTCTTTTTTTGCAAATAGATTTGATTTATTTCTATTGTAAGGCTTTTGGAGAAGTTTAAAAATACTTTTATATTTTGTGCATAATCAAGCAATAAAATTCAAAGTAACTTTTCTATTTTTTCATAAAGTATCAAGCGAGGTTAGAATTTTCTTCTTTCAACTTTTATTCTCTTTCTTTTTATTGTTAGGACTCTTCATTCTCTTCATTATGTCTAGTTTCTTTAACTTCCGTTCCAAGGAGTCAACCATGACGAATGGTGAAAGTTAGAATAAGGGATAAGTCTATGGATTACAAACCTCATATCGCTTGAACAAGAGAAACTACCTAAATTATGAAGACTTTCTAAAGGGAAAAAGATCCATCATCTTGCAGTTCCAAATTAGGTTGTGAAATAACTGTTAAATTCATAGAATTGGAGGGGGAAAATGCTTAATTTTATTAGACAAAACTATCCATATTTATATATCTATATAGAATAACTTAATAAAGAAAGAAATGATTGCAGAATCATGCATAATTGTCTTAATATAATCCTTCCTAAATCAACCACCCAAATATGGAAGGAGATTAGCATGATCTAGGTGAGCCTCCCACGAATTCCCATCCTGGTCGTGGGATCAAGTGTCAAGGGACGGCTGGAATTTAATTGAGATTAGCATTATTTAGGTGAGCCTCCCACATATTCTCATCCTGGTCGTGGGATCAAGTGTCAAGAGATGTTTGGGATTTCAACACTCCCCCTCAAGGCTGGGAAATATATATATGTCATTCTCAGCTTAGTAATTAGTCGCAAAAAAGTAGAGTTATCAAGCCCCTTGGCGCACCATAGAGGCATAGAGTCCTCCATTTGGTCAAAAATTTGGAAGAAATTAGCTTCAGACATTACGACAGTGGCAAATGATAACAATGAAGGTTATATCAATCAAGCCTAGGGGAGTGAGCCGAGCCGAGCAGACTCGCGAGCTGGCTCGAGCTCGACTCATTTATGGGCTCGCGAGCCGAGATTATCGAGCTCACGAGTCGAGTTAACGCTTATATTCGAGCTCGTATATTATACAAGCTCGAGTTTCAGCAGAACCACTCACGAGCTCGTTGAGCTGGCTATATAAAAAAATAATATTAAAAAATCGAGTTTTTACATTCCCACCTAAGCTCGAGCTCAAACGATGCACGTAAGCGTGGAAGGTTATAGCATACTAAATGATACACCTTCAAGAAAGATGTAGGTTGTAGCATATTAAATGCTAGTTACAGCCCTTTCAAAAACATATAAATAAAAAAAAAATGTTGTGTTATGTTCCCCAAAACAAAACAAATACCAGAAAAAAAAAACTAAATAAACTACAGCTACTCACGTTGGAAAAGACTAAAAGATGTAAACATTAACTAATTAAATATCAGCTTCATCTTCCACCACTGTTTCATCTTCTCTGCTTCCCGCTTCGCGATGTCAACAGCATGGTGTTGGGCTCGAGGCAAACGAAAGACGACCGACCGAAGACGTACGAGACAATCGGACTGCACGATGAAGACGATCGAACCGCAGAAGACGATTGAGGCTCGCGAGCCGACTCGAGCTCATTTACAATGGGAATAAGCCGAGCTTGAGCTCTCCTTTTAAGCTGACTTCAGCTCGAGTTCGAGCGAGACGTCATAAAACTAACGAGCCGACCACGACAAGGCCACTACTCGACCCGACTCATTTCGTTTGCACCCCTAATCAAGCCTGCAAGGTGCAGGGCAGCAATAAAGGTTGTGTTCAAAAATAACACTCAAGATACCGTAAATGGAAATAAATGTCAGTTGTGGGACAACAGGGAAAGTGGATTAATTATCATTTGGCTCCGTCTCTCTCTCGGTTCTCAATAGAAGACTGACAATGAAGGCACCACAACAAAAAAGGAATATATATATATTATATATATATATATATATATATATATATATAAGGGTTGCGGCAAGCTTCAAGGATAGGAGCAGGAACACACGTCTCAAGAGACTCAGCACTCAACATTCCCAGGTCATCTAACTCCACCTGAACAGACTCATGTTCGATAGGCCAGTACAGGTGCACGCAGAGCCTTTGATCCCTCTAGTCTAATCATAAGAGGGAGTGCAGGTATTCCATTATTGCTTGTCCCTACCCCCGCATGAGAGGGAACTCTCGACACTTTCCAAACACACGTAGGAGGAGATCCTGCGCTCGCTTCTTGTTGGTTGATTCTGGACATCGCACACAAGAGGAGCCCTCCCGCTCGATCTCTCCTCGATCTTGAATGCACGAAGGCCCATAGAATTCCTACAATGAAGGTCGGTGGTGGAAACCAGTATTCTTCAAAATTTCGACAATGAAGGCCGGTACTGGGAGCTTGTATTCCTCAAAATTCCAGCAATGAAGGCCGATGGAAAGACCTGTATTCCTCATAATTCCGGCAATGAAGGCCAGAGGTGGAAATTCGAAATCCTCAAAATTCCGGCCACGAAAGTCGGTGATGGGAACTTGTATTCCTCAGAATTCCGGCAATAAAGACTGGTGGTGAAAACCTGGAGAGAACCAGCAAGCGCCAGCTCATTCAAGATACGATAAATTGCTTCTAATCTCTCTGTAGCCTTCCCTTGATATACACGAACGACTCCCTACTTAGAGAAGTAGCATACTTCACCACCTACATGCTTTCCAACCCTTGGGTCACTGTAAGCACGCACTAGACCATAGCAGTGAACTGCCTTACCACCAAGAAAGCAATCGTCTTCCCCACAGCGCGCATCGTCTGGGCAACTCCACATATTAGGATCGTTCCAACAACAAGCTTCGAATCAAGCAAACTAACTTCAATCCAAATACGACCGGCAATATTTTCAATGAAAATTATGTCATCAACAATGAAGAAAGCAAGAATATGGGTTACGTAACGGCATTCGTCCATTTGAGGGATTGATCCCAACGGTGGAGATCTTTAGAGAGGTTGACTTCTTTTGATAACCAAAATGAGGCTTCAGCTTTCTTGTACATCTCCCAAATTTGAGAGTGGCGGATCATGAACATGCAGAAGCAGTCGGGATTTAGGATAAGTAGGGGCTCTTCGAGTGGAGGATTTAATGGTATGTACAACAACTCTTCAACCACTTGTTCCATGCTCAGTTTGACTCCAACACACGCACTAGGGTCGGTCATCCATGCTTAGGCACACACACACGTTTCTGCTCGCCCCTTCTCTTGATCCTCTTCTTCACTCAGATCGGCCCCTAGGTAGGCACATACGAGAGGGGTCTCGTGTGCCTTCTCTTGCTGCATGAAGAAGACAAAAAGGGGAAGCCCTCTCACTTGCTCGGTTGCTTTGGAAGTACTCGAGTAGGAAGCAAAACGCAAGAACCAGCTCGCCCTTAAACACATACAACATTAAGCGCAATCCCGCTCAATCAGCTCCCAGGCACACTCACAGAATCTTCTGGTTGCACGCCTCTGTCGCCCTGTTTGGTCACACGCATAGAGAGGGGTTTAAGAGAAGTTCGTCGCTCTCAATCGAACGCAAAGACTGTGGGGTTCACGCTCGACTCCTGCAGACAAGACGCACTAGACATTCATCTCTCTCGATCAAACGAAGAGACAGCGGGATGAGACACTCTCCCCCTCTTGGTTGGACATACGCAGGAACGAACAAGCCTAAATACTCTCCCTTTCGTTTCTGAATGAAAGGCCGATCTTCCCTTCAAAAAAGTCTGGTAGTAAAAAAACTCAGAATTTCGGCCAAGGCAATGAAGGCTCTGATACCATGTTAAATTTAGAGAATTAGAAAAAATGCTTAATTTTTTTAGAGAAAACTATCCCTAATTATAGATCTATAAAGGATATCTTAATAAAAAAACAAATAATTACATAATCCTGCATAATTTCCTTAATATAATCCTTCCTTAATATAGTTACATTTCCTTAATATAATTTCCTTACGTGATCCAAGTGAGCCTACCACGGATTCCCATCCTGCCCGTGAGATCAAGTGTCAAGGGACGGTTGGGATTTAAAAAAGATTGGCATGACTCAGGTGAGCCTCCCACAAATTCTCATCCTGATCGTAGGATCAAGTGTCAAGGGACGGCTAGAATTTTAACAAAAACATGATGTCTAAAATCATTAGGCCGTAT